GCCTCCAGAGCAAGGAGGAGGTGATGGCGGTTCGCCTGCGGGAGGCCGACAGCATGGCAGCCGTGGCCGAGATGCGGCAGCGCATCGCCGAGCTGGAGATCCAGGTGAGCGGCCGGCCAGGGTGGCGGGTGGGCCTGCGCGGCGCCCCTGACCGGACGCCCCTGACCGGGCCTGCCCCGCAGAGGGAAGAGGGCCGCATCCAAGGCCAGCTGAACCACTCCGACTCGTCGCAGTACATCCGCGAGCTCAAGGACCAGATCGAGGAGCTGAAGGCCGAGGTGAGCACGGGCGGCCCCGAGGGGCCGAGGAGCCCCGGGTGTCCTCGGCCATGGACAGGCGGCTGTGGGCCGCGGGCGGCGGGAGGAGAGGGGCCCCCGCGCCCCCCTCCAGCGCCTGGTGCCCCTCCCAGGTGCGGCTGCTGAAGGGCCCGCCGCCCTTCGAGGACCCGCTGGCCTTCGACGGGCTCAGCCTGGCGCGGCACCTGGACGAGGACTCGCTGCCGTCTTCCGACGAGGAGCTGCTCGGCGTGGGTGTGGGCGCCGCGCTGCAGGACGCCCTGTACCCGCTGTCCCCCCAAGACGCCCGCTTCTTCCGGCGCCTGGAGCGGCCGGCCAAGGACAGTGAGGGCAGCTCAGACAGTGACGCTGACGAGCTGGCCGCGCCCTTTAGCCAGGGCCTGGACAACTGAGCCGTGCCCCCGAGGGGCCAGAGCCAGGGGCCGCCGCCAGGGGTGCGGGGCCTGGTGGCCGGCACTTGCGGAACGCCAAGCTCGGGGTCGGGCCCGCAGCCCACCGGGGCAGGGCTCGGGGAGGCCCGGAGCGGAGGCTCCTCGGGGCGCTGGCACGGCTCCCTCCCAGCGGTGTTGACCCATCTCGGCCAGGCCCTCCTGGCCTGGTCCCAGAGCTGTCTGTGCCAATCACTGGAGAGCCGTCCCCTCCCGACACCGAGGGCCAGGGCGACACAGGCCCCAGGACTCGCTGAGCAGGGCGCTCCCTCGGCCCAGGAGCCTGCCTGGTGGGACGCGGCCGCCGGCTGGGAAGGGCTGGAGCTGCGGGAGACTTGAGGAAGAAGGGCCCGCCTGGGCGGAGCTCCCACCTCATCAAGCCCCTGGGCACTCCTGGCCAAGGGGACAGGCGACCAGACCGGGCTTTCCCGCCTGGTGCAGGCAGCGCTGCCCTGCAGCAGAAACCAAAGTCCCCGCCTGTGTGCAGAGCCGCCCAGGTGTGCAGGCCAGCGGGCGCCGCCAGGCCTGGCCAGTGCCTGTCCCCAGTTCTCAGGGGGCCTGAGCCATCCTGAGGTCAAGAAACGCCCCACTCGGTGCCCCACGTGCCACCCCTTCCTGCGAAACACCCCTCCGCCCACCCTGGCACTGAAGGGGGGCCCCACCCGGGCCTGCCTCTTTTGCAGGGCCCCGGCCCCCACTTCCTGTGGCCCAGCCCACCCTCAGGCTAGGCCGGGCGGGCAGGAGGAAGCTTCCCCGGGCGCTGCCAGCCCTTGCCGCCTCCCTGCTGGTCCAGAGCTGAGACTGGTGCCAAAGTCCAGCAGCGTCCCAGGCCGCTCCCCGGACTCACGACCTTCTGGGCTGCCCCTCGGTGCTCGTGGAGCCGCGGGCAGCGGCCTCACAGCAGTTTCCCTGTCGTGTCCTGGGTCAGTCCATGCTCAGTACCCCTGGCCACCCGCCCTCAGTGTGGCAAGCCGGGGGTCCATGCTCAGTACCCCTGGTCACCCGCTCCTCAGTGTTACAAGCTGGGGGACCAGGGTGGGCATCGCCCACACTGCCCACCACCATTTTGCACACTGCCTGTTCACACTCCACATGTTGCCCAGGCGGGAAAGATGGAAAATAAAGTGTATTTCCACGTGACGGGCGAGGGGCACTGAATGGGCCTGGTGCCCCGGTGCCTCTCCCTCAAAGCCATGCCGGGGGCAGCGCTCACTCTTGGGAGCCGCCCTCGCAGTCCACGCGTGGGGCGGGGGTGACGGCAGGCCACAGGGGCCAGAGAGGCGGCCCGGGCTGAGGCGCGGCAGGCGAGTGCCCTGGCTCAGCCGGCCGGAGTTAGTGAGAGCAGCGGAGTCAGACTGGGGGCGGAGCCCTCAGAGCAGGCGTCCTGGCAGGCGGCTCCGGAGAGGCCTGGGCGAGGCGCCCGGGGTGAAGTCCCAGCTGGGCGGCTCAGCCAGGCCTCTCGAGACACCTGGGGCTTCGCTGTCTCGGGGCCTCAGCAAGGTGCGGAGTTCGGCGACATTCACTCAGCACACGCCCCTGAGGCCTTCTGAGCACCCAGCCTGTGCCTGGCTCCGAGGGCCCCGAGCACAGGGTGGGAGACACACGCGGAATGGGGAGGGGCCGAGTCTGCCATCAGAAGGATGTGCAGGAAACCGGGGAAGGCTTCCTGGAGGAGGAGGTGGGTGGCCAGCGTCTCCGGCGGGCAAAGCCAAGCCAGAAGAGGCAGGAACCAGCCGGAGGGACGGCACGACTGGAGAGGGGAGCGTGCGTGCTGCCGCACCCCGCACCCGAGGCTGCCCAGCGAGGCCCCACGGGGGCTGAGTGAGAGGCAGGCCCTCGGTGACCCGCAGTGACGAGGTCAGTGAAGAGGCCAAGGCAGGAACCAAGGCAGCGTGGGAGGTGATGCCCGCTGGGAGGGTGCGGGAGGATAGCGAAGGAGGGCTTCCTGGGGGAGACGCCCCTGGGCCAGGCAGCCAGGCGGCCCTCCTTAGGCACCCGGTTCGGACCACGCTGTGTCCCCAAGTCTGCTGCCCGATAACCGCAAAACAGCAGGGCACGGCACCAGTCCCGCCCGGCAGCCGAGTCCCTCTGGCGTCCATCTCTACACCTCCCACGGCCGGGGAGAGAACGCCGCTCCTGGGCAGTCTGTCCCCCCACTCCCACGGGGTAACCCCTCTGCTGGCTCCCGGGAGGATGGGGCAGAGCCCAGGGAGACGGCTGCGCCCCTGATCCCTCTCGAGGTTGGGCTTGAGGCCCCGCCTGGCTCGTCAGCGGTCAGCCCCCAGCGGTCAGCCCCTAGCCCTCCACTGGCGTCTGGGAACAATGGCCCCGGCCCGACGGAAAGAAACTGCTCGCTGCGGCACTCAGGACCTTAACCAAGGGAGCAAGCGTCTGCTTCCCCCCAAAAGCAATCTGGCTCACTGAGGTGAAGGTGCCCCCTGGGTTCCGGATGGCGTTCCTTGGCCCTGACCTCGGAGGTGGCCACCTCTGGGTGTGACACCCGGCAGCAGGGTGGCTATGACGGCCAGCAAGGCCCCAGGCTGACGTCCTGGTGGGGTGTGGGGCGGCCAGAGGCCACCATTCTTGTTGTGAAGCAGGAGCCCCTCGGGCAGAAAGGGCGCTCCTGGGGGGGTTTCCTGCAGGGGCACTTGGGAAGGGGGACAGGAGTGAGGCTTCGCTTAAGGGACTAGAGGGGCCGAAGGACTGGGGAGGGCGGCAAGAAGCCTGACCGGTGGGGCAACGAGTCTGGTCAGCTGTGTGAGGACTCTTGATTGTGGGCACAGGCCAGGACACCTGGCTGAAGGAGAGAACACTAAGCTGGGGGGAGCCGATGCCCGTGGGCTGAGAGGCACAGAGGCACGGTGGGGACGAGGGGGTGTGGGGGGGAGCGCTGTAAGGGTCCCTCAGCTTCCACTCAGCCTTGGAGGCAGCTGGAGAGGCAGCGCAGACGCCGGTCCTGGGCAGGCCAGTGGATCCCGCCAGGAGCTGCGCCCAGCTGAAGTCTGTCTGCTTGGCGGTCTCCCTGGCGAACCACGAGCAGGGGGCCAAGAACAAATCCAAACTGCCAGAGGTCCCTCGCGCACCCCAGAACTGCAAAGGAAGGGTGAGCGCTCCTGCCCCTCTGGGTCAGAAGTGGGCCTTGCTCACCCACGGGCGGCGCATGTCCACCGGGAAGCCCAGACACCTGCTCAGGGACTCGGCCGCGCGGCCCACTGGGCGTCGAGCAGAAGTGTGACAGGAGAAGGCCACGTTCAGGCTCGAGGGTGGGGGCGCCCGAGCAGGCGGTGGGTTTCGGCCTGGCTGGGGACATCCCAGCCCTCCCGGCGCACCCCGGCTGTCTTCAGGAGAGAAGCCGTGCGCCTGCCCGAGCTGAGCTCGCTCTCCGGGCACCGCGCCTCGTCCTCAGCCCGGGGGCGGCCCGGGCCCGGCCCCCGCGGAGACCCAGAGCGCGCACAGGCTGCAGCGTCCCGGCTTTATTGCAAACTCGGTTCCGCGCAGAGACAGTAGGAGATGCGGGGCGGGGCCTACGGGAGCGGGCGGGCGGGGGTGGGGGGGGAAACGAGTCCCCTAGGCCAGAGTCCGAGGGCTCGAGGAAACTGGGCCGATCCCCCCAGAGCTGGGCCGGGGTGGTGGCCGGCGGGGCGGGGTCTAGGGCAGAGAGGGGTGGGCGAGGGGCGCTAGGGCGCAAGGCGCTGCTCAGTGGAAGGTCTCCACCTCCACCACGGTCCAGTCTCCCTGGGGGGAAGCCACGTCGTCCGGGGAGAAGCTGGTGACCGAGGTGATGCTGGCGCGGGACTCATCCAAGGGGGACAACAGTTCCGCCCAGCGGCCCAGCTCGGCGTCGCTGAGCGCGGTGCGAACACTGCCCGCCACGCCGACGCCCCCAACGTCCCCGGGG